TCAGAATGCTTCCAAATGCTAAAACGATAGCACTGCAATATTTGAAAGGAGCGCATCATAATGAAAACAGATGCTGTTTTTTTCACCGATCTACAATACATGCACCATGTGACTCAGTTTAGTTATATTAGTTATGAACTGGAACTGATATTGTTTGCTTTTCCAGTCCTATGCTAGGATTGCTTGCTTGCGTACGAGTATAAAATGTGAGTGTAAGCTGCTTCTTGCATTGGTTTCTCTTACGTTCGACAGTAGGTCAGTGTTGACTTGTAATTATTTGGCGTGAGCGCTAAATCGCACTCATGTCCTCTCGCTTCATTCTTCTTCTTCTGTGCCTTTTTTCGCTCTCTTTAAACTCTAAACCCATTTATGCCACATATACTGTTCATATATTGAAACATGCTTAATTTCATGAAGGTATTTTCATAAAGCAAAAATCATAAATTTACATTTGTAACGGATTATATTAGTGGAAACCTGATTTACTTTGGCGTGTATGTCCTCCTGCAGCGTGTATGTTGCCACGATGATTGATATGTCAGCCGTGTGGGGTTCTTTGTAGATGGGTGCTATGACTTTTCTTATCAGTAACTTTTATACTTTTTGAGTTATTAAGAGTTAAAAACAATCCAATAGACATCAACTGTATTTATATCTCTGCTATTGTATACGAGACAAACTCCATTCATATTTCAAAATGCTCAGTATTGCACATTGCTCAACTGTACCTTTGCTCATGACACGTACAGTGTATGAGTCTTTAGAAGTTCTATAATGCATTAAAGTCTATGGAGCCCAATACTCTCCTGGTTTCCTCAGCAGTCACTGATGTTTTTGTCTATTTTTTGTCTTTTGACTAAAGAGCATTTAGCTGAACTCAAAGATGAGATGCTACAGATGTCTTCTTCACTGCCAGAGGCATCAAACTTCTATTAGTTTGGGAGTCACACATAGCCCAGGAAAATAACTGCATAATAACTAATAACACATCCATGTTTTTATCTTACAGCTAATATAAAAACAAGAAGATTTACTTTCATGAACAATCTGTTTAAAGATCGGATGATAAACAGCTTTAGATGTCTCAAGAAAAGAAAAAGGATGTGTCCGTTTTTCACCCTCCACTCATTGCTGTTAAGAACCTTGCCAGTGTTTCCTCAGTTTAACCAATTTACTTGTGTTTGGGGTGAGAACCTGTGAGGGTTGAGTGTTACAAAATACAGTCATGAACCAGTTCAAAGGTCAGATAAAAAGGGTGAATGCCAACGGAGATAACAGAGTTAACAGAACCAAAATGTATCTACGTTTTTAAGAAAAAGAAAGAAGAACATCGTGTGGTGAGTTTGTGAATGCTAGTTTGTAGTGACGGATCCTTAAAAAAAGAAAATCTAAACCAGAACAAACCCATACACACCTGCCTGCTGGGATCTTTTAACACAAAACCAGAAAGACAAAGAAGGTAAAGTATGATGAATGTCCTCAGAAAGCCAAAATGGGAGCACTTCTAACACTTCGGCAGCCCAGCAGAAGGTTTTTATAAAATTGTCTTGCTGATCTTACACCTTTTTTGTAAGCCCTCCAGTCCTAGAAGGTAATTTAATGTCAGTCCGTCTTTTTGAGCACAGGAACCTTTTTTAAAGTCACAGAAACCAAACTGTGAACACCAACAGTGTCCAGTAAGTTTACTCCAGTGCTGTACCTTAACAGTGTTTAAAGGGGATCCATTATGTTCTCAGTTATTTGGTTTTGAGGCTCTAATAAAGTGTCTTAGTAGTTCAACATAATCTTTATTTATCCCACACTGGGTGATAAGTTGCTTCCTCTCAGATCATCCTCTGTGTGAAACAAGTTCCTCCCGCTTTCATGCCAACTTTGTTCTGATTGGCTGCCCCTTGACAATGAACATTTGAATTAACATATGTGGACCATCCAATGCCAGGCATTGGATGCCATCCCCAGAGCAGCCTTCTCCCTCAGACGAGCTGAGACATTTCACCCCTAAACATTTTTAGGTGATTCAATCAACAGCCCAAACATAAAATTATGGAGCGTTGGGAACCACTTACATACAGTGCTTCCCTTTTTATCCAAAACACACTGTGGAGTCTGTGTGCGTGTTCAGTGAGAGAGGAGATAAAGTGCCTGTAATGCGCCGAGTTGTGGAAACAACTTCTGTAATCCTTCACCATGTGACTCATAGTAATAATCACTCCATAATGAAGAGAGCTGTGCAGCAGGTGAGACGCAAACAGAGAGACGCAGAGCTGCTTCAGCAGTCACTCCGCAAACTTAACGGACTTACACGTCAACACCTTCCGGTAAGTATCGCTCACAGCCTGGTTGTTGCTTTGGAAAGTGTACAAGTGATGGATGACAGAGGTTTGTTTCGTTATAATCTGCTTCTTATCAGACTTGACCGCACTGGATAGTTTGATCAAATGCAATAAAAGCACTTAAGCAAACTTTTACCACCTGCAGCTGCTCCAGGGGCATCATGGCTCCCTGTACACAAGCCAAGAAAAAAAAAAGCCAGCAGTGGTGACTCAGTGAGTCATCAATCATTGTCTGTCGGTTTTAATGGTAAATACCAACAATGGCTTCTGTTGATTACAGGGTTCAGAAAATGGCCCTACACTGTTGTGACCTTTTTTTTTATTCATTCATTGACAGCCAAAATATTCAAATGCAAATCAGCCTGTGAATCACAGCTAGGAGATCTGTTCTATAAATACAGATCCAAACCCCCTGTTGTCCTCGCAGGGCCCGACAGAGGTGATCCTGCGAAGCAGGAAGGAGAGCAGGAGAGCGCAGAAACACTTTTTTCCGGGAGGAGAGCGCAGTGTCGTATAATGTCAGTTGTGGGCGCGCAGCCTTTCATCAAGCCAATGCAGTCCCCACCTTCAGTTTCGCCCGGTATCCAAAGGAGACACACGCTTCCCGCGAGTGAAGTCCGACCGCTCAACACGCAGGATGCCATAAGCGTCTTTGAAATCGAGCGAGAGGGTAAGTGATCCTTCCTGTGGGTCTTATGCTGACGCAGAAATCCGCTCTGGACTTTTTGCTGAGTGGAAATAATGATTTTGTTACTATAATTACATTAAAGTGTGGTTTCATGTGGGGATTTGATTTATTTAACGAAGTCACGTGATGCATTTTCCTTTGGTGTATGAACTAAAGATGTCGTGATTGCTCCACAGTCGATTAATTGATCGATTTGGTCCGTTTAAATGTGTGCGTAAAAGTTGTGCCAAACCGCTATTGCGCACGGACCACCAATCTCTCTCTCTCTCTCTCTCTCTCTCTCTCTCTCAGCATTTATCTCAGTGTCAGGTGAGTGCCCCCTCCACCTGGATGAAGTACGTCACTTCCTCACACTGTGCCCAGAGCTATCCATGGGCTGGTTTGAGGAGGGTCGGTTAGTGGCTTTTATCATCGGCTCTCTGTGGGACCAGGACAGGCTCACCACAGTAAGACATCCTGCATTTTTTCTCTCTCTCTGTCCTTTCACAGTTAAAAATCATCACTAATTATTAAACCTCCCATTTCCGCTCCCCTCCAGGAAGCGCTGACGCTCCACAAGCCCTGCGGCTCCACCGTGCACATCCACATCTTGGCTGTCCATCGCACTTTCAGGCAGCAGGGCAAAGGTCCCATCCTCATGTGGCGCTACCTGCAGTATCTCCGCTGCCTGCCCAACGTGCGCCGAGCGGTGCTGATGTGCGAAGACTTCCTCATCCCCTTCTACCGCAAGTCGGGCTTCAAGGTGCTGGGGCGATGCGCCATCACCGTGGCCAACCTGACCTTCACCGAGATGTGGTACCCAATCAGCGGCCACGCGTACATGCGCCGCAACAGCGAAGCGATCCGCTTCCCTCAGCACCCCCTGACTGTGCCCCTGACAAAGACTGACGAACGCGTTGATGTATGAAGTGCTTACTGAGGGCCGAGCAGGCTGTCTTTAATCTAAGAGGAAGGAATTCAGTGTTGTTCTCTGTAGCATCTTTCAGGGTTTGTCTCAAGTTTCCAGCCGTTTCTCTGATTTGTTGGACTTTTGATCCCATGTGAAATGATTTTAATATGTATAATAAAACAAAGGATGTACTATATACTGTACTGTGACGTGTTATAAATATGCGAGAAGAGTCAAGTAGTGAGTAACTGGAGTTAAATGTCGCATTTGTGGTAGACTTTGCGCTTGGGTGTAAAGCTGTCTTCTGCTAAGCACCTTCCTGGGCTTCCTACAACTGTGGTCTGACGTCAGTAAACCGGGCTTTAGCAGCTCAGTCACAGCTCCACCATCCTCCAGCTCCTCCTCAGCTCCATTAGGGGGCTTTAGCTATTGTAACCACCGAGTGGGGATTAGTTAACCTGTAGGACCAATGACCTTTACCTAGAGAAGCACAAACAGAGCAGGTTGGCGTTAGTTGTGACGACAGTTTGACAAACCATGTAATTTTTTTTAAGTTCTTTTCTGTGACAGTGTTTCAATAAAATGTTTTATACTGTTTTTTAAGATGAAAAAGTTTCATTTTTAATGTAATTTGTTCTCTCAGACATTTGATATTCTCTTTGCCATAAGATTGCACTAACCATAACTTACACAAGCACCCACTGTCTTTAGCTGTCCCTGCACTCCATGCTGTAGACAGTGTGCTGTGCAGGTGAAGCTGTAATCCATGACACAGTCACCGACTCAGGTGTAATCCCCTAACGTACCAGGACGAGCTGCTCCCACCCCTCTGAAGGACAAACCTGGTAGTGGTCACCTCATAAATGACCCAGAACTGTCACATCAACACTACCTCAGAGTGGAAGTCTGAATGTAAGCGCATTTATGGATATTTCTTAAAAAGCTATGGGGAGAAAAATCATCACAGGATTAAAATTGCTCTCTCTTGGATGTGAGAGACGAGCTGGATTCTATCTTTACACTTTGTACCTTAAAGATCAGGTACTTATTTAGACCCCTGTATTTCCTACATCATGAAGGCCAAACCTTAACCATTACAGGTACTTCCCTGTAATGGTCCAAAAATGATGATTATGGTCCAAAAGTAGGGAATTTGAATCTGCACCTGTAGCCACTAAACACAGAGAAATTTAAACTCATCAGAAATGGAAATAAAACTTTAAAACCATTAAAATATAATCCAACCATTTTCTTCCACTTACCCAGCTGCAGTCTGTCCGAGCTATCAGTGACCGAACACGGTTCAGTGGAATGTAAGTATGTGCATACGGTAGTTTTGTGAAGTATGAAGACATAATGACGCAAGACTCAGACTGTGAAAAATCAGTCAGTGCCTCTCATCTGATCACCTTAGGATCAGCTGGGTTTTTTTTTTGTTAATTAGAAGAAGAAAAAATTGTAAATAAATGTAAAACTGATTGGGGTGCAGTTATACACTCAATAGTCTCTCCATTAGGTACACCTGATCAGCTGTGCGTTAATGCAAATATCTGATCAGCCAATCACATTGCAACATTTCAGTGCATTTAGGCGTGTAGACATTGACGAGGTGACCTGCTGAAGTTCAAACTGAGCATCTGAGTGAAGAAGTAGAGTATGGCAATAGAAGAAGTTTTATTAGCTAGAGTCGGTTAAAGTATGACGTGAGGGTTAAACATTGCCTGATATGATGAGTCTCGATTTCTTCTGTGACATTCAGATAGTGGGTGTCAGAATTTGGCATAAACATGGGTCCATCCTACCTGGTATCAGGCGGATGCTGCTGGTGTAAAGGTGTGGGGGATATTTTCTTGGTTAACCATGGGTCTCGTAGCACCAAATGAGCATCATTTAAACATCACACCTACTAGAGTATTGTTGCTGACCATGTTCATTCCTGTATGACCGTAGTGTACCCATCCTCTGATGTCCCCCTCAGATTCAACCCATCTAACTTGTTGAATCTGTGCCGCAAAGAATTAAAGCAGTTCTGAAGGTAAAAGGCTGTCCGAGCAAAAGCCACCTACCTAATAAAGCAGCTGGTAAGTGAAAGTTTTGTCTCTCTTTTACTGTATAAAAATGCTCTCTTTAAATATGATTTTTTTTTCCAGGAAACTGAACTATTTCAATTTGTGACTCCTTTTAAAAATCTTGTAGACTTTGGGAAGGATGATTGCATTAAAGATTTTTTCACGTTACATTTTTCTCTTCCAGCAGAAATCTGCAGAGTGAAGTTGGCTCGCAGCGATCTTGTCTTATGGCTGATTCCAGCCAGCTGGCACCTTTGCACATTTTGCTCGATGGGAGTTTCTTCCTCCTGGCAGAAAGTTTTATTTTAGTCTTGTGATACTGAGGTCTTCATAAGGCCATGCATGCTGTTTATTTAAGGATTTGTCAGTGTGTGGATGACTGTGATGAGAACTCATATAGTTTGCAGCTTTATATTTAAAGGCTTTCAGTAATGATCAATTTCAAGTAGCAACAATAGACTGAAAATTTGCTGCCTATATTTATTTAAAGAGTGCAAATACTGGACGGGCTGCCTGAATGAGAGCGCTCCAAATGGTAGCTGATATGTTGTTGGCATGATTGCAGGGCAGGCATATGTGAGGCTTTGCCGTCTTCATTCACAGAGTCCAAATCAATTCAGAGACCCATTGTCAATGTTTAACCGATAGCGCCCGTAGTCTAGAATTATAACTGCAATAATCAAACAAAACAAAGAGGAGCTTCCAATTATCGCATACGTCACTCGGGCAATAATCGGTGAGTCCAAAGGGACCACTTTTGCTGCTACGCACTAGTTATGCTGCCATATTCTGCATCATTCAGCAGGCTTTTTAATAGGCAGGCGGTTATTAGACACGCATTATGGGGTTAGACACAAAAACATCTGAAATCCACAATTTAACTCCAATTTTCACTTTGAAAAAATGAGAAATTACATCATCACGTGAGCCAACTACATTAAGTGAGATGACCCAACCAAATCAGGGGACATCCTTCATCCCCCCGGCTTTGGACACAGAATGGGGCTACTGCAGTCTCCAGACAGGCTCACGTGCAATAATCCCACAAAGTCCTTACAGTCACCGGGTAATCTGGCAGGCAGACATCCCAGCATGGAGGCCACACATTCCCAACACCGTTTTCTATCACCACCGCAGTGTTAGACCATAACCAATATCACAACTTAGGCCCATGTAGACAAATCAGCTTCTGCACGCTCCTTTGCTCATCGGCCTGGAGACAAGAAGGCGTGCACGTCGCTGGGGCAGTCTGTTATTAGACGCACGCCTCAACGAGTTCGACCTTGTTAACCTTAACGCACTACAGTGCTCTTATGTGACTCATGTTTAATCTGTATCCTTAATCCACCATTTCCAAACATATGACTCGCTGGGGTTGGCAGCTTTGTACAACTATTTTCATGAGAGGGGTAATCCACCATTTCCAAGTTGCAACACAAGCGTCACTTATGAAGAACACTGTTTCTGGTAATGCCAGATTCCTCATATTAATGTTGAAAACTAGGAGTCCGCGGTCATCATGGACTGTATATAAAACATGGACAAAGCTGCGCAAACTAAAAAGTGAAGGCCGGAGAACTGGAAAAGTGGCTTGAACCTGCAATGTCCAGCAGGGGGCAGCAAATGCAGCTGCATAAAGTTGTACAGAAGTCTGCTTTATGACCTGAGTAAACGCTTTCCAGATGAGTTTATAGGTTCTATTGCTACTTTTAGATCATACCGACTCAGTTCTGCAGCACTTTGATGTCCAGGTTACACCCGTGACTGGTCAAAAGCCTATCACAGGCTGCAGCTGGTTGTATTTTAAATAACAAGGCAGAAAAAAAATCAAAGTGAAGCATTTTAATAAGCCCCTATGCAGCACATACATAACAAAAAATAACTGTTTTCACAGCAGACCAACAATAGAACTGGAAAAAATGAAACAGATAAAAGTGTGCAGCTCTACCAGACACTTTTTTTTCAGTGTTTTCAAAACATATGAACACCTGTCTTTCTCTTTTTCTTTCCCCCCTAAATATGTTAAATAGACTTTTCATGCACCCTCTAGCACCACAGTCTGTAGAAAATTAAATCTTTAGCTAAATTTAGACTTTAAAACTTCCTAGAAACGGAAGTTTGAGTATGATGGAGCATTGGCAACGTCAGTGGAGGTTGCAGGAAGAAGCAAGAGGCCTGTGCTGAAATCTTTTCTACACAGATCCATCGCCTGTTTGTATGATATCTTCCTTTTACTGATGGGGTCCACCAGCTCCTTTGTGTGGGAAGCCTCATCTTGCAGATCTTTTGCCGTTGTGCTGTCAATCAGACCGGTGGCGAGAGCTTCCTTGATAGTGAGGCGGCCTGCTTTGGTGGGATCCACCAACCCGCCGGTCAAATACTGCGCCTCTAAGTACCTCCTGGCATTTTCTTGGGGAATGAACCCTTTCTGTGCTGCCTGTCCTACAGCAAGACGCTGTTTGGTCACAGGATCCTCGACTCCGGTGAAGGCCTTCTGGGCATTCAGAAGCTTATACTTTTGGTTTGTGTCAATGACGCCCTGTTCAGCTGCTTTGTGGACAGACAGCTTGTCCTTTTTGCCCAGATCAACTATTCCACCGGTGGCTGCTTGTGCCTCCAGCAGCTTTAGAGCAGTGTCGGCATCAATGAAACCGCGGGTGAGGGCGCTTCTCACAGACATGCGGCTTTCGGTGGTGGTGTCAAAAATGCCAGAGATTGGGAAAAACTCATCACCTGGTAAAGTGCTGAGGTTGGTCAGACTGCCGAGACTGCCGCTGTATTGAGTGTTCAGGTTAGTGTAGGAGGACCTCAGAGATGAAGACATGGAGCTCAAGGGAGAGGTTGAGATGGGTTTGGTAGGAGCGGTTGGGATTGTTTTGGTGGGAGATTTTGGCATTAATGGAGGAACGTAGGGCTTGCTTCTTTCGCCTGCAACGAGGAGAGCAAACTCAGAAATGGGCATTTTCCCTTCCTTGTAGCGGCTCACGTCACGTTGAGTCAAACGGCCCTCCCTCAGAGCATCCCTCACAGAGTACTGATCCCCACTTTTTCGATCGTGCAAAATGATTGTATCTCCACCTGGACCACTTGAAGTGATTTCCTCCCAGTCACACTCCAGCTCTGACAG